GACTCCCGAGGGAGTCTCCCCCAGCCCGCTGCTGCAGTGTTACCCATTCCCGTCGTTGCCTGTCTATTCTGCTTTGCGGCAACCCAGTGCACTACCGGTTCTTCCTACGGTTGCCCGGTGCCGCCCGACTAGGTCCATGCCCCTCCCCCACTGAGCTCGCAGGGGGAGGGGATCGGTGGGGAGGCCTAGTGGCTGGCCCAAAAACCCGGCCCTGGTGCCACTGGATGGCCCACCCCCTTTTTCCCAGACCTCACCACCCCTTCAATTTTCTCGGGAGGCAGCCCCGTTCCGGTTTCTCATAGCAAGCCGCAGAGCCAAGAACGCAAGCTTGCTATGTGCCCACGCGCGGGCCCAGGGAAAACGGCCCGACGCCGACCTGTTGCGGTAGTAGCAAATATTCAAATAAGGACTTTGAACCCCGAAACGGAGGAAAAGCCCCGCGGGCATACTCACATCCACAAAGGGGTCCCTGCCACTCAGGGTTTCTTCCACCTCGTGGGCTAATCACCCACCGGTTTGTACATACGTTAAACCCCCTTGGTCCGTTTATCTCAAGACCGGCGGGGTAAAGAAGATCCGTCGGCATTCCGAACTTGCAGAAATCTGCAAGTCAACCAAAAGATCCGCACGCCCTCGGCCCTCGGCCGCCGCGACGGCTATCCGTGGGGGGTTTCAATCACTCCCCACCACAAGGAACCCGAACGGGCCCGCCGAAAGAGGCGCACACTCAAGGTCCTCGAGTGTCGTGACGGCCATTAAATCCGGCGTCTCGTCCAAATCAAAAGCCCGCTGGGGTATATATACAAAAAAAATACAACGTTGAAGTAAAATTATTTTAGAAAACGCCACCACCGTTCGGACGCCGTCATTGACGAAACCAAGGGGGATAGCTCCACAACCCTCAACCCCATCGGCTTCCTCCTCGATGCTCCGCTGTTGTCAACGCCTGCCGGCCTCGATCCCCGAACCTTCGTAGTGTCAGTCCAATGTCGTAACCTATAGGGCTAAGCCCAAGCCTGAGACCAAAACACGTCGGGTGCCATATAAGACGGTGCGACGCGGCGTTTTGGGCCAATAAAACGGCTGCACGGCTCTCAGTGCCTGCGCAGGTTCGCTTATATCGTGCCATAATTGCCCCGCGCGCCATCCTACGACACCCCGCTCACCGCACGAAAGTCGCGCCGTCGTTGCCGATGCCGTCGTCGGGGTCGTTCTCCGCAAGCGCGTTCGACTCGGTCAAAAGTACCAATCAACATAAAATATCATTAATTCCTGCTTAATCGAAAATAAATAATAAATAATCTTATCTAAGCAAAACGACCGAGTCCCGGGCCGACTCTTACGATCAACAACAGAAAAGAATCACGGGCGCCTTAAACCTGCGCGCTTACACACTCGCTATTGTGGTCAACCACCCAGTCAACGCAATTACAGACGCGACCGCGCTTAGCGCAGTATACTTCAACTTAAACCAAAACTGCTTTCTGTTACTTACAAAAAAAACAGGGCGGATACCCTTGTAAGGGTATTCGCGCTGACACCGCGCTGCCTTGGTGCGGTGTCGGACCGATGCGCTCGACAACGCCGAGCTTCGGGATCTATTCGACGAACTCGGACCAAAACCGAGCAGCGATTGCACCGCCTCCGCTTACGGCCCACCCCGTCGGATTCCGAAGCTTGTTATGAGCGGAGCGGACAGCAGCACGACAGCCACGGTGTCCCACCAATCCACCAGACAAGGGACCGACCGCGGCGACGCAACTGGCAGAGGCCGTAGCCCCCTCCCCGAAGGCTGAAAATGCCCAACATGATCCGAGCACACCATTTTGCACCATTGTTCCTGAAACTCGCCACAAGAGATCTCAGTTCCGACCTGGGACCCCATCCCCACTTTTCTAAAATCCTTGGCACACCCCTTTTCGCACTTCCGGGCCCCCATCGCACTCCGATCAAGAAGTCGCGTTGGGCGTGAGGTTGGGCGTGACCCCTCTTCGATTCCAAAACGGAAGAGGTCCGAGGCGCCCTCAAACCTCTACCGGGCCTGTCCGGGAGGTCCTTGAATTCAGTACCTCGTTTTTTTTTTTCCGTTTTTTTTTTGTTTTACCACAGAGGCCCCATCTATTCTGGGGGCCAGCAGTCCAGTTGTTTATTACTGGCAAACATGACACAACAAAGTTTTTTGAGAGAGGGGGGAGAAAAGACGAGGGGAGAAAGCCTTACCCTTGAGGTTCGAGAAACCGTTCAAAGGGGGTGCTGCTAGGACCATCACACACCTCAAACCCCAATCCCCGCCAGGGACTTCTCTGCTACTGTAGCCAGGAACATGGTACCCAGACGCATAGCAGGAGGGCCACTGGGGGGGAGGGGTGCAGGGGTGGTGGTGCTAGCAGTCCCCTAAGCCTGCCTTCGTGTGCTTATCACCATATGCCTCCCTAGGTGCTGGTGGTTTAAAAACAAGAGAAAATTGGATCTGTATGGGAATACCCGCTATACCCAGCCCCATGCTCAACTTGCATCTATACCCAGACGCTGTCCAACTTACCGTAATACCCTACTTTTCCTGTGTGCCAACTTACACCTTTACCGCGTCCCACAGGCCCTTGGTATGGGAGCAGAAAGCGCGCAGGCAAAATCGGATGTGCTCATGATTTGCTCGGGGACGTGCATAGTTTGAGCATTTTGGGTACACTGGCAAGTTGGGTATAACTGCAAATTGGAGGTACCAACAAGTTGGGTGCTGGGACTGGGTATAGCGGGTATTCCCATCTTTTTTTTTACTTTTCTTTGGGGAAGGTTTTTTTTTTTCCTTCTTCTTTTTTTTTTTTTTTTTTTTTTTTTTTTTTACTCTTCTCTCAATTTTTCCTCACACTGCCTACCTACCACTACTCCTACCTATAGGCATACGGGGAAACCCGTAGCATACCAAAGCCGTGTTTTTACGGCCCCTCTAGCCTGCAGGATACCGGTGAAGGGACGGCCGGTAGCACCAGGGATAAAGCGGACGAATTCCCCGTGCCTCCCCTCAGGCCCCTCCCCTACGAACATAGCAGACTCTGCTTGATGCCGATCGGGGGATCCAGTGGTCTATCTCTTGGGTAGCGGGTGCCAAGTAAGCCCAGGAAGGGATGATGTCGATGGGGATTGAACCCATGACCTCCTGAATGCCACTTGCGAGCCTTACCAACTGAGCTACTTACCACTACTCCTACCTATAGGCATATGGGAAACCCGTAGCATACCAAAGCCGTGTTTTTACGGCCCCTCGAGCCTGCAGGATACCGGCCAGGGGACGGCCGGTAGCACCAGGGATAAAGCGGACCAATCCCCCGTGCCTTCCCTCAGGCCCCTCCCCTACGAACATAACAGACTCTGTTTGATGCCTATCGGGGGATCCAGTGGTCTATCTCTTGGGTAGCGAGTGCCAAGTAAGCCCAGGAAGGCATGAGGCCAATGGGGATTGAACCCATGACCTCCTGAATGCCACTTGCGAGCCTTTTCAAAAAGCTATGCTCTTCTCTCAATTTCACCTCACACTGCCTACCTGCCACTACTCCTAATTGTAGGCATACGGGGAACCCGTGGCAGCCAGAACCGTGTTCACGGGAGAATCATGTGGGGGCTGCTCCCGACCTGCAGGTGGGCGATACCCGCTAGGGGACAGCCAGTAGGTACAGATGCAGTTTTTCCTGAAACAAAATAGAAATTGAATTTCCCCAGGTCGACAATGGAAACGAAAGGAGAGGCTGTGTACTTCGGCATGGCTGTTCCCGCACGGCCCAGGAAGGAATAGACAGGCGAAGCAGTGTACGAGCTGTGAGCGAACGGGTGTGTGGAGTCCACTTTCTCTCTCTCCCTCTTTCTGTCTCTCGGTCTGTCATTCTGTATGTGCCTGAGGTGAACACTTGGACATTACCATTCACACTCGGCTCACAAGGGAAGTAGGTGAGTTCACGTGGTGTGGCGAAGTTCTCTCTCTCTCTCTCTCTCTCTCTCTCTCTCTCTCTCTCTCTCTCTCTCTCTCTCTCTCTCTCTCCCCCCCGGGTGCGTGAAGAGGTGGAGAGTTCCAATCACGTTCGACCCAAAACTAAATAGGGGGGCTCGCCCCGCGTGGCGAACTGCACCCTCTCCCTCCCTACGTCCGTTCATCCATCCCTCCACTCGTTTAGGGCTTTTTGTCGCCGAGCTATGTTGCACGCAGGGCGGGATTTGTGCACGGCCACTATCGGAAGGTGTAGGCGGGGATCATGCTGTGAATGCGGAGAGCCAGGGGGAGAAGGAACACTAGAGGCGGTCAGGCATGGAGGAGAACGACACCATCGAAATCTTAGCAAGAGGAGGAGGACGGGAGAGGGTTAGGATGCCGGATCAGAAGCATGATAGTGTCGGTTTGTGGTTGGTCAGGATGGGGATGCGGCGACACCGGGATACGGTGAAGCATGCAAGGTAAATTTGTTGGCGGTAAAGAGGTTGTGGAGGAGGAAGACGTCGAGGAGTATCGTGAAGTTAGTGGGAGGAGGATGTAGGTCGGGGACCCATTTTGTGAGGGAGGGGGATGCGGCGACACCGGGATACGGTGAAGCATGCAAGGTAAGTTTGTTGGCGGTAAAGAGGTTGTGGAGGAGGAAGACGTCGAGGAGGATCGTGAAGTTAGTGGGAGGAGGATGTAGCTGTCTCTTATACACATCTAGATGTGTATAAGAGACAGGGGGGGAGGGGGGCGAAGGCGATCACAATGATGTGAGATCGAGATGAGGAGTTCGGAATGTCAGCCAACGAGGGTGAGGATGTAGGAACCGATGAAGTGCAGGACAAAGAACGCTAAGGCAATAGGGTAAGGAATGCAGGTTGCGTAGGGGGAACCGGACAAGGTGGGAAAGAAGAGATTGGACGGCAGGAGGAGGGGCTCAACGTGGGAAGAGGGAACAGGATGTAAGAAAAGGAGAGAGCAGGATAATAACGAAGGGCCTGAATCACGAGAGGAATAGGGTAAATGTGGATATGCAGTTGATGGAGAGAGAGCAATGACAAGAGAAAGAGCTACAGGCAGAGGACGAGATCCAAAGGGGCTACATTAAGTATTGGAGGAATAGGAGCTCGATGGGGATCCCAACGAAGGAGAGAAGCGCATCGAGAAACACGGGAAACGAGAGGCGGCAGGCATAGGACAAGGAGAGGAGAGGATTGGGAAAAGCGGATTGGCGGATTGGTAGGGGAAAGATCGGGAGGAGGGATGGAGGGCACACGTTGAAAGGTGGAATCGGGGCACACGTTGAAAGATGGAATCGGGACACACGTTGGAAGATGGAATCGGAGAGTCGGAAGGGAGGCAATGGAGAAGGAAGAAAGGAAAAAAAGGAGCGTGTCTCGTATAATCTCTATTTCCTGCTGGATGATCTGCCCCTTATGCTGCTCTGCTGGATGATCTGCCCCTTATGCTGCTGGTCAGCATGGTGAGGTAAAGATTGTGTTCCAAAGAACGAGTCTTCTCCAACCTCCATGACGAATCAGGAAAAGGAGACTCTCTCAACAGCTCTGTTCGTGGAACCTCACGGGCATACTGAAACAATAGATCACACCTCTCCTCTCCTTGTCCCCCTCCTCCTAATTGACACGCACAAAGCGTCCATCCTGTGACTGTTTCAACTGAATCTTGCTGCGATTGCAGAGCCATACATCCAAGGAAGTTGCGTGACCTGATGTTTAGTTAAATCTGAAATATTTTTTCACGAAGGTGAAATCATTTTTCGAAATTTGTGTGTCTGGAACAACAGCTTTTTCTGTCTGTGAAACCAACCCTCGGCAACGTGGGGAAGCATTCTGAGTGAGTATCTCATGTATTCTTCTGACTTGAGCTCCCCAGAATGGATATGCAGCCGGGCCCGTAAGGACCTGTCGTCCTTTTTTTTTTTTTTTTTTTAAGCCCTCTTCCTTGAAGTTTCATCCAGTCTTTGGGTTCTTGTTCTGTGGGCTTTTGTTGTGAACAGGTTTCTGTAAACCTGAACTCTGATGTTGTCATGGTTTCCTACCAGTGAGCTGAATCAGCGGTGGATACGAGGTAAAACACTTCATCAAGTGACAAGAAGTCGAAGCGGTTTAATTCATTGTTAGCGTGCATTTGTTGTGTCCACAAAGAATCCCAATAAGATTTTTGGTTGTTGTGCTGCTGAATTCTGGAGCATGCGCAATTATAAATCGCCAGGGGGAGCCAAAATACTGATCTCCTGTCAGAAGTTGTTCTGGGCCTTGTCCAAATCTTCTGGACCAGGTCTGTTTTTTTACAAACTGGTATGTAAGTGGTTGAAACTCTATTCCCATCAGGGTTTAATTAACTTTAATATCTAAGCCGGTTCCGAACTTTCGCCCGTGCACCTAAGCTAGCACAAATAGCATGCAGGTAGGCCAGGTGCTTTGCAAATACCAGAGATTCTGCTACAACTAAGCCAGCACAGTAAACGAAACAATCCTTTTTGACTTGCTTGGTTGCTGCAAAGGGACGGCAGTGAGAGAGGCTTTTGGGGACGGGGGCGGGAGAGGCTTTTGGTGACGGGGGAGAGAGGCTTTTGGGGACGAGGGCGAGAAAGGCTTTTGGAGACGGGGGCAAGAGAGGCTATTGGGGATGGGGCCCGCACACACAGTATGGGTGACGCCACAGTAGGTTGGTGATCGTGGAAATTGTGAATCACATTAGTAGAATTTGGTGTTGATGCTCTTGCATGGTAGTGATTGCTTTAGTGTCCAGGTCCCCATTATATTTGTATAAGTCAACATTACACTCACATGCTTAAATGAGTGTGACGTTATGGAGTTGTCAGCAGGGGAAGTCGTCGACCTGTTGTTCGAAGAGGTTGCAAGCCACTGTGCTGCCATGAGGTCAGAGATCCGGATGGCAGAAGGGCTTGAGGGGGAAGATCTCAGTGTGAAATGGCATGAGCTTGAGAGGAACAATCGGGGCTCTGCGGATAACCACACCACTTCGGCAACCCCTAGCAGCAGTGCTGGCTGCAGCCAGGTGGAGATGAAGAAGGCAGGCGTAGACGTGCCATTGGCAGGTTTGCTTAGTCAGGATCACCTTCTGAAACTCTCATTCTTTTTCAATAAGAACCTGGATCGGGCATTGCAGATTCTGGATGCTGGAGCTGTAGAGTGGGTGAAGGGGGCGCCAAGTGGTCGTTCTGTTTTCAGGATCTGGGGAGTGAAAGCCAAGGGCGTCATGCACCATCATCTTTGCTTCCCATTGTCGTATTGTACTTGTGAGTCGTTCTTCTATGACGTTGTCGCACGCAGTGAGTCCCTCTGTTGCAAACATCAGCTAGCTGCACGATTGGCACAGTCTCTACAAATGTATAAGGAGACACAAGTGTCAGATTTGCAACTCTGTAAGCTGCTGTGTGGAGGAGACTGAGTTCGTTATCAATTATCAACAGGGTGGTCATTGCAGTTGCTTCCTCTTTGATTGATCCTACCCCTTGTTCCCCTCACCATCATCATTGTTGTCGCTGTCATTATCAGCATGTTTCTATGGTCTGTCCGACATGATGGAAGTCGCGCACAACCTGGTGAAGCTGCCGCCTTCAACGAAGTGAAGACATAAATTTCACTTAATTAACGCCCGCAGCCCTTCGCTGATCACAGAGCTAATCCAAAATCACCTACTCAACTCAAGCATTTTTGAATAAGTGATCTCTTGCAAGCGCCTGTAAAGTGTGAGGAATGTGAACTCACGGAGCCCTAGCCAACATGCACATGGTCTGGGCTGTGGCCCCCAACAAGCATTGTGCCCGCCCTAAGTGAAGGCGGGCCTGTATATCCATGAGCGGCCCTTATCCCAGCATTTTTCCAAGGTGGGTATCAGACAGTTGCAGCACGCCAGTTGGTTGAAGTGCAAGGGATGGGGTAGAATGAGGGAGACAAGGAAGGCGGAGGAGGAGAAGAAGAAGACTGTTGTTGGATATTTAGATGTGAACAGGTGGCGGGATCATGCACGTCTGACAGCGCCTTGAGGATTCAACCTCCCGATGAGTCGGTGACCTGCGATAAAACAGGCTGTCACAACCCACCGTTTAATCGTCTCCCCCCCCCCTACCTGCCTAAGGTTGAGCAAGCTGCCCTCCGTATTGATGGACTCGTTCCATGCCATATCCTATGCTGCCTTATGTCATTTGTTATCGTACATATACTACATCTGGTGCAATTAGACTCGACTTCTCTGACACTTCAGCATGCATGCAAACAGATGATGATCAAGCTGGCAACTTGCGACACCACAAAGCTCAGAGATAACGAAGCCAGGAAACACAGCCGGATTCAAACCTGTCTCGATCAGCTATGGACAATCACTGTACTCCCCGCAACTTGTTCGTGGACACACCCCTCCCTAGATATCCCTCACACACAAACACAACACACTACGCACACACACACACTGTAAGTAAGCTAACCGGCAGCTATGGCTGTGGTCTACTACCTGTTGCTAACACAGGCGGCTATGGTTGCGTCTTCCTCGTCCTAGCCTACTTCCTCTTCAGGCACCTGCAGACCTCCGTAGCACAAACAAACAGACAACGCTTTCCCACTCGCACGGCTAAGAGGTAGAATGAATGAATGTCTGAACGCTGCCTCTTGATTTATACTTCAGATCGTAAAAAGTCTGCCCTTGAATGTCGGGCGCAGAGTGCACACGAAACGGTTTTCACCTTTTAGCAGTAGCAGATGCAGTACCCAGGGCTCGATCCCTAGACGTCACCCTACCCATGTACAGTATCGGTGTAGACCCTGAGAGTTGAACCTGTGACCTGTGTATTCGTAGACAGTTGGTAGGTCTGTCGTAGGTCCATAAGCAGCAGGGGTTCGATCTGTAGGTCTATAGAGTAGAAGTCTTAGCAAGTTCCAGGAGTCTAGCTGTAGTCCTAGAAGGTCGGCAAGTGGGCAAGTGGTCAAGTGGCGAGGCAAGTGGTGGACTAAACTGCAGTGCAATCGCAGTACGACGACGGTAGGATAGGAGTGAGTCCACAGACAGTCAGCGGTAAGGTCCAGTCAGTCCCAGTCCGGTCCAGCAAGTACCACGGGGGACTGTGAGCACCATGGGCCGATGGCAAAGGGCAGASCAACGAGTTTCCGAAGTATAAATCAAGAGGCAGCGCCCAGCCTTTCATTCATTCCTGCGTGAGCCATGCGGAAGCGCTGTCACAGCGACTTGTGCAAGGAGGTCTGCAGTGAGCCCGGAGGACGCAGTGGGCGAGAGTGAAGGAGTTTAGTATAGCGATACGGTAGAGGCAGCCATAGCTGCCATAGCTGTAGTTAGTGTGAAGTGTGTATGTGTATGTGTGAGTGTTCAGAGTGTCGCGTGTGGGATATCCAGGGTGATCCGGTGTGTGTGAACAGTGAGTTGTTTGGGCGCTGAGTCGCCATAGCCAGTTGCAAGTGAACTCTTATCTGGATGCCATATCTCTGAGTATTGAGTGGCCGCATGTCGCCAGTTTGCTACGCTGCTGTTTACATGCATGAAAAGTGTGAATGAGACGAGTCTGATTGCACACACAGTCCTACATGATACTTCTGACTTGACAAAGTGTGACCGGGATTGGGTACCACTGATTGGACTGGGTAGGACTGCCCATTTGGCCACTTGCCAACAGGCTGCATCCTAGGACTTGTGAAGGGCTAGTTCCGGATCTTCTGGATGACTGTGGACCTTTCTACACTGTAGCAGCGACGGCTCCTACCACTACTGAGACCTCTGATCTACAGACCTACGATTCAAGCTCACACGGGTCAACTGATACTGAACATGGGTGAGGGCGAGGCCTAGGGATCGGGCCTGGGAACTGCATCTGCTACCGTAAAGCTGGAAACCGTTTTCAACCGTATCCCTATCAGTGTAATGAGAGGAAGAGAGGAAAAAGAGAAAGAGAGAGAAAGGTGAGGGCGATAACGTACGGGCATGTACCTGGTCTTGGTGATAGTCTATGAGGGCCGACATCTCCATGTACTTTCGTTCTACTGCTTGCGTCAACAGTTGCATTATCAATTCATAAGCTGATAGCAGCGGCATAGTAGTCTGGGCGAAAGTGGAGCTCGGAATACTTATGTTGGTGACAGCGAGAATACGCTCCCGCTAACTGTCTGCCTTCCTTGGCTCTCAGTAAAAGTTTTGCGATATGAAATCTGTCATTCGGCCAGTTGCCCAATTCATCTTACGGTTATTATTATTATTATTATAATTATTATTATTATTATCAGGGTTACCTGACCGAACGTTCGGGGGCCCCCAGGCTGGCCCCCGAACGTTCGGGCGTTCGGGGTCCCGTTCGGGGGCCGAACACCTCCAGGTTCGGCTTCGCCAAAAAAATTTTGGGGCCTAAAAATAAGTTTTGTTTTCTGAATTTTTTTTTGCGCGTTCTCTATGATGTAACCTACACGCCTATAATTTTTGAAGCCATTCCGCTAAGCCAAAAAAAAAAATTACAAATCGGGGGTGTCAAAACGTGCTCGCCCACTCACTATTTTGTTTTTTTTCACTGTTAACTTTTTGTTTTCACTTTATTTCGGGGCCTAAAACATTTTATTATTTTTTGAACTTTTTTTTAACGAGTTATTAATTATGCAAAATACATCTGTAAATTTTCAGGGCATTTGTTAATGCCAAAAAATAATTAAAAATCGGCAAAGATGGTGGCGTCGAAAAGGTGCTGGCACACTCACTCATTTTAATTCTCTTTTTATTTTTTCTTATTTTTATCATAGTGTTTATTTTCTGTATTTGATTTTTAATTAAAATTTGGTAAAGATTTTGGATGTAGTGCCCAGTTTTTTTTTTTGTATTTTTTTTAATTTTTTTTTTTTTTTTTTTTTTTTTTTTTTGGTCCGCGTTCGGCCCGAACGGCCGAACGCCTTCCGAAGTGTTCCCGTACGTTCGGGCGTTTGGCCCGTCCCGAACGCCAGCAACCCTGATTATTATTATTATTATTATTATTATTATTATTATTATTATTATTACTTGAAAGACCTTCCACCATTCAGACTTCAAATCCGAGTTTCAGGATCAAATAGGCCTAGACCAAGAAAGGCCAAGATTTGTCAGACTCGGAGAAGCCACTGTCAGGCGTCTGAAGGGTCAAGCCCAACAGACACTCGGTGGACAGTCACATCCCAGAGGCAAGAGTCACAACCCACGGTCAAATGTCATGTTTCACAAGCGAAAAGTCGTGATTCCTAGGCACGTGCAGTGTGAGGCCGACGTGATATGAAGTGGCTTCAGGGGGCTGAAAATGCAGCATTGACATCACATCCGCGCGCCGGCACTGGGTGGAGTGAGCCGCAGCCGGGTAGCGGGACACTAGCAAGCTATGGTTAGGCATGCAGAACAGCGAGCATGCACCCGCGCAATCTTGCAGGCAGGTTGGACAGCAAGCACACACACATGGTCCTAGGAAACACGCGTGCGGAACAACAAGCGGTTTATTGAGCCCATGATTGTGTGGCAAAGGCAAAAGGGAATAAAAGAAGGGGGATACCAGAAAATGAGGAGTAGGAAGAGTGAACAGGAGGAAGGTGAAGAAAAAAAGAGAGAAGGAAAGAAGGGAAATGAAGGAGAAGGGTAAAGAACGAAAGTGACAGAATGCTACCTTTTTTTTTTTTTGCTGAGATATAGAGACTTTTTCGAAAGTAGTACTTGTTTTTAATGCATATACTGTGCGTATGTATCGGTAAATTTTATTGTCTATGACAACACTTCCTTGGGGACTAGGGCCGTCTCCACCGAATCGACGGAGTACCCCCCCGTAGAACAGTCCACTCCGGGTCGATAACAGGGTCGGCTCCTAAAGCAACGAMCCCCCGCCTCAGATGCTTCCTTGAAAAAGAGGATGTGTCCACTGCGAGTAACTTTCAGTTGTTCTCATTTCTCCTAAGTTCAGGGTAACTTAAACGAAGAGAAATCAAAAGGGATAAAGAAAATAAGAATCATTTGGACAGGCGCAAATAAGAGGGTCATTCGGGATAGAACGGGTTCCCTTGGGAAGAGTTAAATTCATTATGCTTCAATTTTCTTTTTGTCTTCAGAATTCCTTTTCTCACGGCATCCATCGATTATCCTTCAAAAATAGCAAGCAAGTGCACCCAACTCACTGATGAAAGGAAAAAAAAGTAAGGAGGCGAAGCTCTTCATCATTTTGTCGAATAACATTTTGTCTCACTTTCATACATAATCTTTGTACTCACCTGCACAACACGCAGTCAACACAATTAGGCAAACAAAGTCTCATTTCTCACATCAGACCTTCCTTTTCACTCATGCACGACGCCCACAACCCCACTCAACATTTTCTTCTGAACATTCAAAGCAAAAGGGTCAAGTAATTTGTGGGTGCGCACATGCGTGAAGGGAGTGTGAGTTGTCCACTGACCTTGAGTGAAGTGGTGTTGAAGAAGTGTCCTGGCTCACTCAAGAAAGCCAACCAACACGACGTGTGTGCCGCCGAAAGTTGTAGTCTCAAGGAAAATCTTAATCAAACCACCTCTCACTTGCACGCCTCACCCGCGGGTCGCGGTAACCCAAGCGTGAAGACGGCAAGTTGCATACGTCCTAGAAAAACACTCAGTCTGGTACCACGTCAGTCCCAACTACTCCCAAGCGGTCCCAAATGGT